GAGACGCATGCGAACACCGCCACTGTGGCCTTAGGTGGGGCTCCCTGTGGGGCCACGAAACGTGTGAGGGGTGTGACGACATGGGCGGTGGGGACGGTGATGTTGACGATGTTGAGGAGGATGTGGATGAGGATGATGCTGCAGATGATGCAGATGGATGATGGATGACGGTGGTGATGGGGGCGATGGTTTAGGGGGAGGGAGGGGATTCTGATGATTATGATGATGCTTATGCTGATGCTGATGCTGGTGCTGGTGCTGGTGCTGCTGATGATGATGATGATGATGATGATGATGATGCTGATGATGATGATGATGATGCTGATGCTGATGCTGATGCTGATGATGATGATGATGGTGATGATGGTGATGATGATGATTATGATGATGATGATGCTGATGATGATGATGATGATGATGATGATGGTGATGATGATGATGATGATGATGAGGATGGTGATGGTGATGGTGATGATGGTGATGATGGTGATGATGGTGATGGGAGGGGACGAGAAGGAGGAGGAGGAGGAGGAGGAGGAGGAGGAGGAGGAGGAGGAGTAGGAGGAGGAGGAGGAGGAGGAGGAGGAGGAGGAGGACGACAAGGAGGAATAGGAGGAGAAGGAGGAGGCGGAGGAGGAGGAGGAGGAGGAGGAGGAGGAGAGGAGAGGAGAGGAGAGGAACGCGGGGCGTTGTCTCTTCAAAACGAGGACCCAACATCACAGGATGGTTGGTAAAACATGCAATTATCCTGGCGAAGGACCCAACCATATGCAGTTGTGGATGCCGCATTTGTGAACATCTTCTTCGGTGAAGCTCCCTATGAGGCCACGAAGCGCTGTACTGGGTGGGGGGGAACGCTGTTCTGGGTGAGTAGTGTGTCAAGTAAGGTTTCCGGGACGCATGCAGACCGTCCCACTGGGAGCTTCGGTGGAGCTCCCTATGGGGCCACGAAACGCTGTACTGGGTGGGTGAAAATGCCAAATTGGGCTTCCGGGGCGCATGCGGACGGTCCCATTGGGGGCTTCGGGGGAGCTCACTAAGGGGCCACGAAACGCTGTATTGGGTGGGTAAAAATGCCACGTTGGGTGTGCGGGACGCATGCGGACGGTGGCACTGGGGCCTTCGGTGGAGTTCCCCACGGGGCCACGAAATTCTGGACTGGGTGGGTGAAAATGCCGCAATGGGTGTTTCGGGACGCTTGCGGACGGTCCCCCTGGGGACTTCGGTGGAGCTCCCTGTGGGGCCACGGAACGCTGCACTGGGTGGGTGAAAATGCCACATTGGGTGTGCGGGACGCATGCGGACGTTGGCACTGGGGCCTTCGGTGGAGCTCCCTGTGGGGCCACGAAACGCTGTAATGGGTGGGTGAAAATGCCAAATTGGGTGTTTCAGGGCGCACTCGGACGGTCCCCCTGGGGGCTTCGGTGGAGCTCCCTATGGGGCCACGAAACGCTGTACTGAGTGGAAGGGACGCATGCGGACGGTGGCACTGGGGCCTTTGGTGGAGCTCCCTATAGGGCCACGAAACGCTGTACTGAGTGGGGGGGACGCATGTGGACGGTGGCACTGGGGCCTTCGGTGGAGCTCCCTATGGGTCTACGAAACGCTGTACTGAGTGGGGGGGACGCATGTGGACGGTGGCACTGGGGCCTTTGGTGGAGCTCCCAATGGGGCCACGAAGCGCTGTACTGAGTGGGGGGGACGCATGTGGACGGTGGCACTGGGGCCTTCGGTGGAGCTCCCTATGGGGCCACGAAGCGCTGTACTGAGTGGGGGGGACGCATGTGGACGGTGGCACTGGGGCCTTCGGTGGAGCTCCCTATGGGGCCACGAAGCGCTGTACTGAGTGGGGGGGACGCATGTGGACGGTGGCACTGGGGCCTTCGGTGGAGCTCCTGATGGGGCCACGAAGCGCTGCACTGAGTGGGGGGGACGCATGTGGACGGTGGCACTGGGGCCTTCGGTGGAGCTCTCTCTGGGGCCACGAAGCGCTGTACTGAGCGGGGGGGACGGGCGCATGTGGACGGTGGCACTGGGGCCTTCGGTGGAGCTCCCTATGGGGCTGCGAAGCGCTGTGCTGGGTGGGTGAAACGCAGGGAGGAAGGGGAGGAGGGAGGAGGGGGAGGAGGAGAGGAGGAGAGGAGGAACGCGGGGACCGTCTCTTCAAACCGAGGACCCAACAACACAGGTTGGTTCTGGAAAAAAACACACGGTTTCGCAACACTGATTCGCTAAAAAAGCTGACGCGCGAGCTCTTGCGACACCTTAAGAAAACCATAGGTTTGTCAAGATTTACACAAAATCTACTAAACGGACTTCGCGCGCGCATGTCGAAATCTGTCTAACGCCCTTGCGCGTGTGCCGTCGCGAGAACCCTCTGTAAAAATTAGACGAAGTGCAGACGCGCGCGTCGTGGTGCGCGTATGCCGGAATCCTTCAAAACCCATCGGTTTCGGAAGGATTTCAAAATCGTGTGCCCCAAAAACCTACAAAACATAAGGTTTCGCACCACGGAGATTCAACAAAAGCGTGCGCGCGCGCTCTTGCGTCGTCGTCGTCGTCGTCGTCGCCGTCCTCCCTCCTCCCGCGTCGTCGTCGTCGTCGTCGCCTACGTCGTCCTCTGTCTTTCCTCGTGTTCGTCGTCGTCGTCCTCTTTGGCGTCGTGGTCGTTTCCGTCGTCGTTGTCGCCGTGGTCGTCCTTCCTCCTCCTCCCTCGTCGTCGTCGTCGTCCGTCGTCGGCGTCTCGTCGTCGTCCCTCCTATTTCGTCGCGTCGTCGTCGTCGTCGTCGTTGTCGTCGTCGTCTTCCCTCCTCCCTCGTCGTTGTCGTCGTCGGCGTCGCCGTCCTTCCTCCTTCTTCGTCGTTCGCGTCGTCGCCGTCCTCCCTCCTCCCTCGTCGTTGTCGTTGTCGTCGTTGTCGCCGTCGTCGTCCTCCCTCCTCCCTCGTCGTCGTCTTCGTTGGCGACGTCGTCGTCGTCTCGTCGTCGTCGTCGTCGGCGTCGGCGTTGTCGTCGTCGTCGTCGTCGTCGTCGTCGACGTCGGCGTCGTCGTCGTCGCCGCCGTCGTCGTCGTCGTCGTCGTCGTCGTCGTCGGTGCTGTTGGCGTCGTCGTCGTGTCGGTGTCGTCGTGTCGTCGTCGTCGGCGTCGTCATCGTCGTCGTCGTTGTCATCGTCGTCGTCGTCGGCGTCGGCGTCGTCGTCGTCGTCGTCGTCGGTGTCGTCGTCGTCGTCGTCGTCGTCGGCGTCGTCGTCGTCGCCGCCGTCGTCGTCGTCGTCGTTGTCGGCGTCGTCGAAGTCGTTGAAGACGTCGTCGGTGTTGTCGTAGTCGTTGTCGGCGGCGTCGTCGTCGTCGTTGTCGCTTCTTCGTCGGCGTCGCTGTCGTTGCCAAGTGCCATTTGGTTTCCACCGTCATGGTCTGAAGAGATTTTGCAAACCAAGTTGCGGGTTGGTGGGTGGGATGTTTCCGCGAGCAGTGGAGTGGACAATTTCAAGTTCGGCAAGTGAATTGCACAACCATATATTGCTCCAGATATATCGCACGACATGTATTTCCCACATCATAGGTTGCACCGCATAGGTTGCATCACATAGGTAGGTCCACAACTATTGCCCAACATCGATTGCACCATAGATTTCATCTCATATCTTGCTTCACATGGAGTGTACAACACAGTATGCTGGACGCACACTGTATGTGGTCCACGATGGCTAACATCTGTACATGTCTACAAGATGTATGTGGATCCATGCGCTCTTCATCTCTCCTATACTTGCATGATGATGGCCATGGTCGCAAGGGTTTGGGTTTTTGGCCGAAGCCTAGACATCGATGACCCGGGGACCTCACAGTTTTGGGATTTGTGGGCAGAATTGCGAACCCAGGGGCCTGGCCGAACCCACCAAACTCGGCCTGGAACCGTGAACGTGAGAACCAGGATCCTGGGGATCGGTCCGACTTGTTTTGCGTTCTGAAAACATGGTCTGTAAGTCTCCGCTAGAGGACCTCTTCAGTGACGGAGGACGGGGACGATGAGGAGTCATCGAGGAGGAACGGCGAATATGTAGAGGAAGAGGACAATTCAGGAGGGACCCTCCGAGGACCAACGCAGCCGTTCGCGCGCAAGGACGTCATCCAGCCCGTGGCTGGCTTCTGCGATTCCCTCCTCGGAGCCCCGTGGCAGTTGCAGCATCAGAGATGGAGGAAGGCAAGGCAATGAAAAGCAAGCGCGACGAGGAGGAGGGGGGTGAAGGAGGAGAAGGAGGTGGAGGAGGAAGAGGAGGAAGAGAAGGAAAAAGGAAGAGGAGGAGGAGGAGGAGGAGGAGGAGGAGGAGGAGGAGCAGGAGGAGGAGGAGGAGGAGGAGGGGGTTGAAGGTGGAGAAGGAGGTGGAGCTAGAGAAGGAAAAAGGAGGAGGAGGAGGAGATGGAGGAGGAGGAGGAGGAGATGGAGGAGGAGGAGGAGGAGGAGGAGGAGCAGGAGGAGGAGACCGTTGCCCGACTCGGGGGCGTGAACACCCCGCCCGGCCTTGGACACAGGGGCGGGGTTCCCGCAGCGGGCAAGTGTCAGGTACGGCGCCTGCCGCGGGCTGGCGTGGGACGCCAACCTGCGCAACAACATTTAAATTACACCCGAAAACAGTGGATGGTTTTCGCTGAGGGGATCGACCGGGAACCCAGGAGCCCGGGAACCCAGAACCCACCGAAATCGGCGCGGAACCAATAATCGGGAACCCGGGAACCGGGAACCGGGAACCTGGGAACCCAGCCTGCCACCAAAATCGGCGGGAAATTTTCGCCAAATCTATCAAGCTCCGCTAGGACCCGTTCAGTGCAAGCACTGATTGGGGAATGAGGAAGAGGTACCCATGCCGCTACCCTTTCCTCGTTTTCTTTTTATGGGCCTCCCGGGAGGCCCTCGTCGCCACCGCTGGATTCTCTTCGGAGTTTTCGTCTGAACGCATCCTGGGAGAGGTCCGGGGAGTGGTGGTATGGGTACTCTCCAATCATGTGCATCGACACGAGGGCGCTGGATGAGAACTTCCAGGCGAAGAACCAGTACGTGTACCACATCGGTGCCAAAGGGCGTCTCCCTACAGGAGCAGTCCATCCAGGAACACCCCGTGCTTCATCGATGAGGCCGACTGTCTCTTGAAGTTGGACAGCCATGTCTACACAGCCTCTGTCATTGACACGTTCAAACGCGGGCCCCTGAAAAATCCGTAGAACAAGTTCAATCGATTCCAGTTTCTGTCTATCGCAGCACTGTGGGCGTGGCCGAGTAGGACCAGGCTTGGTGGGACATGCAGGACGGAGAGCCATGACTCCCTTGAGAATTGCGAGACGCGCAAGTCGTAGGAGGGCGGCTCCTGCAATCGCATTACGGAGGTGACCTACAATGGCGACGGCCAGGCGTTTACCAGCCTTGCGAGGGCTGCAGCGCCACGGCGGACTTTCTCAACACGTCGTGCTACGTACAGGGCGGCCCCAACAACAGCAACCAGTACCATAGCTTCACCGTAGATTTCAACTCGTTCAACTGCATGACGGCATTGAATCGCGTTGGCGCGAACGATTGCGTGTTCGTGGCCCGCGAGGGTTGCACCCCCATTGCCGACTCCGACCGTCAGGTGTGCTATGAACAGGCTGGCTCTAATTGAAAGCAGTACCAGGCGAACCATACTTGCAAGCTCGACGATGGCCTTGGACGACACAACTCCAGGCTAAGAACCAGCACGTGTATTGCACCTCCTGATTGCCACAGAGCGTTTCTACAGGGCCAGCTCCTCCCGGAACACCGATGGATCCATCGACAGGGCCGCCTGTCTCATGCAGTCGGACAGGCGGGTCGACATGGCTTCGGTCATGAACGCGCTCATTTCCGAGCCCCACGTGACCACTGACACAGGTCCTCGTCGATCCCCGTCTCCTTGCCATGGCAGCTCGCCCGCGCGCGCCGTGCCCAGTCGCGCAGTGCCGCGCCATCCAGGTCGCGGCGCGAGACCGCAAGCGGTTGTGGAGCGACGCTCCCGCCGACTCGCGCGCGCCGTGCCCAGTCGCGCAGCCAGGGCGCCGCGTTGGCGCAGGGCCTCGCCCAGCGGTTGCTCCGCGCCGCCCTTTTGGGGAGGCTCCGCCACACAGGTGGCGCGGCGAGGCAAGTCGCGGCGGAGCGAAACACGCGCACATGCCATATGCGACGCACGCGGCCTCCCCCCTTTGAGGGAAGGCGCGTGGGAGCATAATTCCCTGCCTAGGCTCTGCCTAGAATCTAGAAGGGCTCTTACTCTCTTGGCTTAAAGGGGCCGGGCAGTGTAAACCGCCCCGGGGCGGTTCCCCCAGTCCCCTGGGAGCCAAGCAAAAGCAACAGCAAAGGTAAAAGCAAACGCGCGGTTCCCCCAGTTGCGCTCCCTGGGTGCCAAGCAAAAGCAAACGCAAAGGCAAAAGTGAAAGCAAAAGCGAAGGCAAAGCAAACACATAGCATCGCATAGCATAGCATAGCATAGCATAGCGCAGCATAGCATAGCGCAGCATAGCCTAGCCTAGCCTAGCCTAGCCTAGCCCAGCATAGCATTGCGCAGCATAGCATAGCATGGCATAGCATAGCACAGCATAGCATAGCATATCATAGCAGATCATATCATAGCATAGCATAGCATAGCGCAGCACAGCATCCACTATTGCTGCTATATAGATACACGTACTTATATATGTATGTATATTTATGTGTGTGCGCATGTAGAGGCTTTCCTAGAGGCTCCAACTCCTAGGTAGGGTCGCACTGGAATATTTGACATGTACATATATATATATATATATATATATATATACAAATATGTGTGTAGGGGACGAACAGTTCCCCCCCTGCCGCTTTTGCGAGGGGGTGGGCGCGACTAGGCTGGGGTACGGGGTCTGTCTCGAGGTTCCGCGGTGATTGGGGTTCACCTGCTACGTTTAGCATCCCCGAGGGAATTCTCGGAATCCAGGATGCCAAGAACCCGGAGGACATCCCCAGAACGAGCCCCACAGGATTTCTAATGGTTCGTCCAAGTCGCAGAGGGGATCATTCGGATCGCTGGGATCCTTGGGGCTACACCGTCTGGAAATCGCTTGGGTACCTGAAGATTCTTGCGGAAGGGCCAGGAGCAGAAGTTCGGATTGGGGGCCCCGCCCGCCGTGCTGATTCGCCACTGCGCCACCATGTGCAGCGTTCTGCACCTGGCTCGTGAGGATGCCCCGAGGGGGCCGATGCCAGCCTCTGAATCGGTGGTTCGATGCTCTCCCGTGCGGTGTCTCGCCCGAGGATCTCCGGGGGCGGGCCGTTGCTGTCCCCAGGAGCGGCGACCAGACGGTCTCCACCATGGTCTCCTGTGTGGTCTCCAGAGTATGGCCTCCCGTGTGGTCTTCTGAAGGGGTTTCCCCGTGTGGTCTCTGGTATTGTCTCCAGTATGGCATCCCGTATGCTGTCCCCGCATGGTCTCACCGTATGTGTTTCCTTCTGGTCTTGTCGCATGGTTTCCACATGTGTTCCAGAAGCCGCAGAGGCCGCACAGGAGGACACCACACATTTGTGGGTACGCACCATACGACGGAGGCGCCGCCCGTCCGCTTGGGTCTGGGTCGGTTCGAGGCGGGCGAGCTCAACCTCGCCCGCCCCGTCGTTCGTCTGGCGATCCGCTGAATGCTCCGACAAACGGTCGGTCGCAGAACGGATAGTGTGGGCGGCAGGGGGGGGGGGTGGAGGGGTAAGGGGGTGGAGCACTGGCAGGGGCGCGACTGACAGGGCAGGAGACCTGGGGAAGTCATCTGCAGCACGAGCTTGGGCGAGCTCACCTGCAGATGCCAGCCTCTCGGGCAAGTCCCCGCACGTGTGTGGCACGCGGTGCGACCCGCCCTCGTGGCACCCGCAGCGTCCGCAAGGCGGGGGCCCAGGAGGGGGGGAGGGCCGCTCCGCCCCGAGGAGTGTCCTGCGCTCCGCTGGTGGAGCCGAAGTCGTCCCTCGAGCGGCACGGCCGCCGCCTCAGCGGGCTCGCACCGCTCGTGCGCCCGCCCGGGCCGCCCGCCGACGGGCCCCCGATGCCGATGGGCCCATTTTTCACCGCCACTACTACATGTAGGACGGGGGAGACGGGAGGATGAGGAGGTCCTGCTCTCCTCCTCCTCCTCCTCCTCCTCCTCCTCCTCCTCTTCCTCCTCCTCCTCCTCCTTCTCCTCCTCCTCCTCCGCCTCCTCCTCCTCCCCCTCCTCTTTCGCCTCCTCCTTCTCCTCCTCCTCCCTCTCCTATCTATGGTAGTGGAAGTGGAAAATCGGCCCATCAGATGCGCACCGCTTCGAGTGGGGGCGGCTGCCGTGGCGACTTGCCTTGCAAAGTGTGTACCCCAGAGAGGGTGGGGTCGGGTGCATCGGCTTTCAGCGGTCTTCGAGCGGTCTGGCGGCTGCTCTCGTGTGACCGCCAGCTTTCTCCGATGTTCGGATGGTTTGGAAGCTTTTGGAAGATCTTCTGGTGGTTCTCGGATATTTGTTGGTCTCCTCGGAGGTCGTTCAAGTGTATCGAAGGATGGAGTACGTTTGCAAGGGTGCACTTGCATCCTTGATTACTGGCCCATCCGTCGACATTCTTGAGCTTCCGCAGTGTCTTTCATGGACACATGGAGGGGGATCCGTCTCTCCAGTTTGCCCTTCCTTTTCATGTCTGCTCCTCCTGCTCCTCCTCCTCCTCTCCTCTCTCGTCGATAGTCTTTCCTGGACTTCCAGGTGTTGCGGAGACCATTCTCCTTCGCGATTTCAGCGCCCCAGGGGCCTCTTCGGGAGGGTCAGGCGGCCGCACACAGAAAAAAGAGGAACAGCGGCGAGAAACCGAGCTCCGGGTTGGGGATCGAGATATCTGGGGACCACGCAATGAGAGAGCATGGCGTCGGGGTTTTGCGTATTCGTCCCGCCGCGTCCTCGCCGTTCGTCCTGCTTTTGCCATTCCGTTCCCTTCTCCGGCTGCCCCAGGCTACTGCGTCGTGACAGACCAGACCACCATGAGCAGACCCACGGTCGAGATGTACCTCGATGATCCTTCGCTCTTCGAGGGCAGATTCAATCGGGACGCGCCCGCAAAAGCTGTCAGGCGAGAGCAATGGTTCCGCTGGCGGTGCTCCGACCCCTCCGCAGCAGCGGTTCTCCTGCGGAGCGCCTACGCATTTGTTTGGCACCTTCGGTTTGCGGCGTGAGATCAGGAAGAAGGGTGGTCGAACGATGATCGAGGAGCAGGATTAGGTGGATCGGCAGCAGTAGAGGTGGAGGCGGAGCATTAGGAGAATGCTGAGTGCGCGGAGAAAGGATGGGGAAGGAGAGATGAGGACGGAGGACAGAAGAGGACGAAGGGATCATTTCTATCGTTCTTCCCATTCTCCCCCTCCTTATCCAAGTCGCCTCCCTGATCCTCCTCTCCCCAGGGCCACCCTCGAACCCCGCAGAGCCCCGGAGAGCCTCCAAGAAGCCGCCAGAACCCTCCAGAAAGCCATGACACCCTGTCCTCTTCCGCCCCCACCCTCCTGTTCTTCTCCCTCCTTTCGTCGTCGTCGTCGATCGTCGATCGTCGTCGTCAATCGTCAATCGTCAATCGTCGTTGTCGTCGTCGTCGTCGTCGTCGTCGTCGTCGTCGTCGTCAAACGTCGTCGTCGTCGATTTCCCCTCCTCCCGCTCCGCTTTCGGCCTCGCTGGGCCCTGTCCTCGATTCCCTCCTCGCTCCTCTCCTCGCGTCCTTCTGCTCTCCTCGCTCTTCTCCTCGCCGGGCCCCCCTGTGCTGCTCCTCGCTTTTTCGTGCAGACTTGGGACATCGGACCCATGCGGATCCCGATTTCCGATTCATCCCTGCCCCCCCCTTTCCCCCCGGTATCATCAACCTGCGCTCGCTTCGCTGCGCTTGTCGGGGGCTCCCAAACGGGGCGGTGACCACACCGTGCGGTGAGTCGGTGGGGATTTGGGATCACCGCACGGTCTTGGGGTTCGGGTCGTTCTCTGAGGACGTCTCGGGCGACTGGGGCCTTGGAGGTCCCAAAACCGTGCGCTGACGGACCGTGCTGTGAGGTCCTGAAGGGTTTTGAGGTCACCGCACGGTCTGTCACCGCACAGTTTCGGGACTCCAAAGCTCGGCCCCCCCGCCCCCCTCCCCCGCCTCACCCGCCGCCCCTGAGGACGGAACCGATTTCCGATGCATCCCTGCCCCCCCCTTTTCCCCCCCGGCATCATCAACCTGCGCTCGCTTCGCTGCGCTTGGCCCCCCCGAACCCCACTTGGGGGCCCAGAGAATATACACCACCACCACGTCGATTCCTCTTCTCTCCTCTTCCCAGCGAGAGGGAGGTGGGGAGGGAGGTGGTGGTGGTGTATATTTTTGGGCCCCCCCCTCCCCCGCCTCACCCGCCGCCCCCGAGGACGGAACCGAGAACAGCTGGGTCGACTGGGGAGAGGCCGCCGGCCGCCGCCTCCTTCAGGGCGCCTGCTGCCCCGGCCTCACCCCGGGGGGCTGCCGGGCGAGCAGGACGAGTATCGGGGGCGGAAAAGAGGGGGGTGATGACAAGGGGGGGGTGGATACCATGGCGTGGGCCATGATATTTCCCCAGTTCTCATGGCGCCGCTTCTTGTTTCATTACGTCCCTGGCCTCCCCGCTGGGCCGCGCACATGCCGCCGGTCATGGTTTGCACCCCCCCCTCTTGGACACCCCCCCCTTGGCCACTCCCGAGAGCAGGAGGGCGAGAGGCCGAGGAGGGCGAGGAGGACCAAGGAGGAGGGTGAGCAGGAGCCCGAGGAGGCTGAGAACGATCGGGGGTTCGGATCGGAATGATGGGGATGCTGATGAGGCGGATGAGGATGACTCTTGAGGTCGGCGACCGCCAGGCCCAGGCAGGCCCCGGAAGCCCCCTGACCTCCCGTCACGTGAGTTATTTTTGGGGGCTCCCGGGAACACCCAACCACCCCCCGCACTCCCCACCACGTGTGGTTTTTGTTTGGGCTTCCTTCCTCTTGCATGCCGGACAGTTTGCCTTTGGGTTGCCTCGAGTAGTCACACGCTGGAGCGGACTGCCTCTGATCCCTGCCGACGAGAAACAGTTTTCGTGAGCGGGGTCTTGCCCCCCCCTGTGCCAGGTGTGCCAGGCAGCATCTGTCTGGCCTGGTGATGCGAGGTCCTGCTCTGAACTGGATCTGGCCCTCCGCGGCGCGCCGCGTCCAGATCAGGCTCCACTGCAAGACGCCAGGTGGAGGAGGAGGAGGAGGAGGGAGGAGGGAGGAGGGAGGAGGGAGGAGGGAGGAGGGAGGAGGTGGTGGTGGAACTCTGCGTCTTGTCGGTGCCGACGTGCAGTGGCCCTTATAGTGGGCCGGCTCGGACCTGGCCTGTAGCCCGGTGGAGGGTGTGGGGGGCCCGAAACCTTGTCAGGCCCTTCCGAAGATTTGTTGGGCCCAGGCCGACCCGCTCCTTGGCTGGTCCGCCCGAGCCCCGCAGGGGCTCTCCTGCACGGGGCAGCCCTCTGGGGCTCCCCACGCGATTCGCAGGTCGAGGCCCCTAGAGGCCCACGGCCTACGGCGTTCTTGCCGTATCCGCTGGGCCCTGGCCTTATTCTCGGCAATCCTGCGCCGCTGGGTGTCGGTCAGAGGGGGGCGGGAAGGGAGAGGCGGAGGCGGAGGCGGAGTCAAGGGACAGAGGAAGGGAGAGAGTCCGATCACCTCAGCAGCGTAGGCCTCCTCCTCTGTGGGGCCCTGGCTGTCCTCAGGATCCTGGGAGGGGCCTGGGGGGTTCTGGCCAGGCGGGTCGGGGGCCTCAAAGCGGCCCCTCTCAGGGTCGGGCCTGCTGCGGCCCTTCCCCCTCGCAAAATCCGGGGCCCACTCCCTGGCCCCTTCCTCAGTCGAGGGGATCTCTGAGACATAAAAGTCCGCCAGGCCCTGCACAAGGAGGTGGTGAGACTGGGAGTCATCACTAGGCGCATCCGGGAGCGCGTCGTCCAGAGCCGATTCGAGCGTCTCCAGAATGCTCTCCGCGATGCAGCGGCAGAGGCCCGGGGGGTAGACCTTCTTCCGCGCGGTCCGGAAGGCCCTGGATCCTACCTCACGTCCTAGGAGAGTGGCGTGGGCCTCTCGCCCGTGGGAGCATTTTCCTCCCCCTGGCGTCGCAGTCAGGCGACGGTGGAGTCCCGCCATGCGGAGCCCGAACAGTCTGGTCGGGGCCCTGCTCAGCTGGCCGTGCTCGCACTGGTCGAAGTCCGTGGTCGTGGTGCACGGCGCCGACTGCAGCGCAAGCCACGGCTCCCATGTCCACGATGTGACGGCTGCGAGCCGCCAGTTGCACGGGACAGGGTGCTCCGACCACCCTGCCGTGCCTGCCACCAGGTGCGCCGCGAGGAGGAGCACCATGGACTGCATCAGGGCGTTCCCCACGGCCAGCTGGACCCTCTGCTGCGGCGCGGCGTGCGCCACTCCCCAGAACTGGTCGTGGGACCTGAGCGGCGGTGGGCCTGGCTGCTCCGACCACCTCGCCGCGCTCCACGTCTCGCATGGCGGTCCTCCTCCTGACATCACGATCTGCCTCTTCAGGATCCCTTCATGGAAGACCATCAGGCTGTCCTGGCGCATGAGGTCGCAGCGCTGCGCGTCGATCGCCACGTCGACGCTGAGGACCATGATGTGCACCTTCTCTGACATCACTTCGAACTTCGGCGCTGACTCGAATACGTGCTGTATGTCGTCCTTGCGCCTGTGCCCACAGAACAGGTTGAGTGCGTAGATCTCTGCCTTTTGGATCCTCCACGGGATCTTCTCCTCCGTGGTGATCCCGCTGTACTTGTCTGTGCGGAACTGGTTCAGGTCATATCTTTCGTCATGCTGGACCTCTGGCCTCTCCTGGGGCCGCTCCTCCGAGCCCTCCTGCAGCGTGGACCTGGCAACTTCGTCGAGCACGTCGTCTGACTCGAGCAGGACACCGCCTTTGCATCGTCTTGGCTGAGGTACACCACGTCTGGCATGGGCACCGCTGCTTTGACTGCGGGTATGTTTACTCTCTTCCTCAGTAGTCCCCGCGGGAGCTCCTTGCGCGTCACGTACTCCTCGGTACCAAGCGCCTCTCCCGCATCAATGGTGGCGACGAGGCAGGCGGGCGATGCAATCGCCAGGTGCTCGGTGAGGTGGTGGGTCTGGTCGAACAGCGTCAGGCACCCTTGGCACTGCGTTGCTGTTCCCGCCCAGGTACGCGCGAGACTGACCATGGTCCAGTGCTGCTGCGAAATGTGGACCCTGAGCCCTCTTTGGCGCCTGAACGTCCTCTGGCACCACGGGCATGTCCATTGTCTCGTCGATATTGCGTCTGGCTCGTCTGCCTGCGGGGGCCCGAAAGGACTGCCTTCTCTCGTGGAATACGGCACTCCCGCTGGCTGCACTGTGGCAAAGAAGCACTTCTCTGCCATGCGTGCCGCATGTCCTCTACTCAGCTGCGCCGCCGCTGCCTTGAGCGCGTCGTTGAGCCTGTACTTCCATGAGGAATGCGAGCGTAGAATCATCATCTCCCACGGCCTCAGCTCTTCGTTGGGGTCTGGGAGGTCCTGCAGGTCCGCCGAATGGCCTTGCAGCCATCGGAGGTCTCCCATCAGCATCTGCGGCCAGGACTGCCTCTTGGCGTGCTGGGGTCGCAGGAGGAGCTGGGCCATCGTCGCAAAGGCGAGGGGCGGTCCTGCTTGCAGTAGCTCGCCGAAAAGCCTTAGCCTCGCTACTCTCAGCAGGTCCTCCGGGCGAGCCCTTCCCACCTTGGCGAGCAGCGCCTCGTCCTCTGCCTCCGGGTAGGCGTCGATGTCCAGCTCGCCGTCCTCTTTCGTGGCGAACTTTTTCCCCGCTGCTGCCCTGTAGACTGCCATGACCATGGCGTGGTGGTGCTTGGCCTCCGCCCTCGTGAGACCTGGCCAGCTGCCCTGCGAGAAGCACCTTGACGAGCAGACTAGGGCATCTGCGAAGACCATCTTGGTGGGCAGGTCCAGCTGGTGGTTACGGAAGACCTTCTCCCTCAGCTTCCTGAGAGCGGCTGTCGTGGTGGCTGAGCGGCGGTAGAGCTCGGGGTACACCGCGCCGTGGTCGTCGATGACCGTCCCCCGCGCCACGTGGTTATGCGCTGCGTGGATAGTGGCCCCCTCGTAGTGCTTCGACCTGAGCTTGACCCTTCCGTGGCACTCATGCCACAGGGTTCTCCTCGCACCCTTGGCCCCTTGACCTGCGAAGGCAAAGAGCACCTCCGATTTGCCAGGGTCCAGGTTGAGGACGAGGCCGAACTCCGCGAACGTGTCCAGCACGATGCCTGCAATGACTGCCACCGCATCCATCGCCTCGTCGGCCTTGCCGATGAAAAAGAACGTGCCATCGTCCGCAAATGCCACGCTGTGGCCTGGTATCTTCTCGAAGTCGAGGTCGCTGTCGGACTGCTGCGCCAGGGGGCGTACGTTGGCCCCTGTGACGAAGATGCCGTAGCCCTCCTCCTCGATCCTCGCCTCCGAGACCCTGATGGCCTCTGCCATGGCGATCTCGTAGATCTGGTCGGCCAGAGGTTGGCCTGGGATCGAGGATTTGGTGCCAAGGGCGACGTGGTCCGAGCTCTCGCAGACGAACTATGATGCCGCGTACTGCTCCTCGACCAATGCCTTCAGATGCTCGCCGGCCTCCGTGCGGTGAAGCAGCGGCATCTCCTCCTCGCGCTTCTTCTTCAGGGTCTCCAGGGCCGTAGGCGGGACGGCCGTGGACTCGGCGATCGCGTCCTTGTCTGCCTTGGCCATGGGCGTGCGCAGCACGAGCTCCCTGACCATGGGGTAGAAGGCGTTCTTGACGTCCATGAAGATGGCCGCGAAGGACAGCATGTTGGCGGTCGCCGCTGACTGCAGCATCCTGGTGACCACCGACGCATGCTGTGTACCTCTGCGCCTTACTCCTCCAGATTGGCGGTCTCCTACAGCCTGTGGTAGGTACTCGGCCACCTTCGCCCTGTAGAAGTGCCTCACCCTCTTACCCACCATGGCCGTGACCGCGAAGCACCTGTGGTTGCCACACTCCTCGGCCTGCTTCTTCCTGTGGTGGTGTCTGTAGAATCCTCCTTTCCACTGTGCTGGCTCCACTCCTGTGCAGGCAAACTTGGCTGCCAGTGGGTGGTATGCTGCCGCCAGTGTCTTCGGCTGTGTCCGAAAGAGCTTCCCCATCAAGCCGTCGACTCCTGGCGCTGAGTCCTTTGTGATCTTCGTGGCGCGTTCCATGTCTGCCAACGTCGGGATGCAGCTGGGGTCGAGTACTTCAGGCATCAGGGCTCCCTTCTCGAACTGCGCCTGTATGAGCCTGTGGAGGTCGACGATCGGCACGTCGGCTGCGAACTCGACTAGGCTGAAGTGCTGGAGCCACCTGTTCCCCATCTGCGCCTGCGACGTGGCATACGTGCCGTCGAGGAGCTTGACCGACGGGAGGCACTTGCTCATCATGCGCTTCTGAGAGCCGATGCCCATTCCCCTCAGCCGTGCAAACGCTACATCCGTTTGCCTCTTGTCCCATGCGTCCCGTATGTCACCTGCAATGCGGTGGTAATGATCACGGCCGTCTTGGCGGTGCGACGCCAGGATGTCTGCGCCCGCCAGCTTCCAGCGCCACTGGCTCAGGGCCTCTGTCTTGGTCTGGATTATGGTCGCCATCCAGTAGAGGGGCGGCAGCAGGGTCTCCCAGTCGTCCCCCGCCTCCTCTATGGCCCTGATGAGCGTCTGGGTCGGGCTGATCGCCAGGCGCTCGTGGAACAGGTGTCCGTCGGGCCTCTGTAGCTTGGGCTGCTGGCTGAAAGTGCCTCTCTTGTTGGACTGCTTGCTTCGATCCGGCAGCGTGGCGACGCGTGAGGCAGCCCTCGGTTCGAGGAGCACCGGGGCTGCCGGTTCTGACCTTGGCAAAGCGTGGCCAATCGAGGCATCGGGCAGACCAGTGGCGACGACTTGGGACGCTCTCGGCTCGAGGAGCACCGAGGCGCCCCGCTCTGACTTCGGCAAGACATGGCTGCCTCCATCAGCTTCACCTCGCCACTGGTCAGCACCTGCTCCTGCTGGTGGACCTGGTTCGAGTCGCCGACGACGCCTTGTGCCTTCAGGCGGAGCCCGCCTTCCAAGTATATCACGAAATTCAGCACGAATGTTGTCCAAGGTGCGCCAGTGCTCCGCCACCAGCCTGTCTCTGCTGGCGTGCTCGCCTTGGCGATCCTGCCACCAGATCCAGTTGGTCATGCCGGCCCTGCGGTCCACCGTGTTGCTCCAGGCGGCCTCGCAGATGTCCTCTGCGATGCGGTCGACGTGCTTGGCCTCGCCGTCCCTGGTATCCTGGATGGCACGTAGCCTCGCGGGGTGTCGTCGTAGGAGACGTTTGACGACGGGTACGCACCACAGCTTCCATGACCTGTGGCTGCCTTCGGCCTCTGCTAGGTTGTAGACCCAGAAGCTGGAGCGCTCCTCCATGTGCTCCCTCAGGTCCTCCTCCTCGTCTATCGGGTCCTCCTGCGGCGGGTCGCACATGTCCGCAGGCTGCTGCACGTCGCCCTGCTGCACTGCGGATGCTTGGCTGCTTCTGGTGTTGGTCCGTCTCAGGTTGTCCGATGCTTCCCCGACGGCTTGACTTAACAAGAGCTCGTCGTGCTTGGGTTGCAGCATGCCTTCACTCTGGCCCACGCACCATCTGCCGCCAGCGTGCCCCCCGTGGCCTTCGACGTGGGGGTCTTGGGCCCTGTCCGGGTCCTCCAGGTCGCTGTTGTCCGCGCAGTCTGCCCACGAGAGTGGCGGGTCGATGGGGGCAATGCTTGTAGTCGCTGGCCATCGTGCCCATGTCTTTGTATCCTGGGCGTCCCCTGCTTCAGCTGGGATGTCGAAGTCGGGCACCTCGTTGAAGGTCACGTGCTTCGAGGTGCTGCCTTGGGATACTGCGTCGTTCTCCTTCCTTGCCTCTTTATCTTTGCAGGGTGCTGCTGGCCCATGACCATGGCCGAGAAGTCGTGCACCTGGCGATAGTTCTGCAGCGCCGTACGGCATGGTTCCACGACCTTGTCGCACGTGACCCTGCTTCTTCTCGATACTTGCCACTGCTGTCCTCAGGTTGTGCCACAGCCCCTGGTCGCAGCAGTTGGCCCATGCCGCCATCGTGACCACCAGCATGATGTGGCCCAGGCGATTCCTGGCCTTCCTTGTTGTCCTTAGGAGCAGCGCCCTGACGTTGCAGAGGTCCTGCGTGGCTGGCGATTCCCATGTCGGCTTTGGCGCCGTTGGCTCAAGCGGGAAGGCCTCCTCCGCCGCCTTCAGCACCTGGCTGTCGAGGTAATCCGCGTGGTCGTTGGGGTGGGCGTTCGCTGCCGGGTGCTGCACCTGCCCCATCAGCTCGTCGAACCTCACCTGGCAGGAGAACGTGGTGAGCTTGGTCTTGTCCACCTTGGGGCGCTGCCACCTGGGCGGCCTTTCCCCGTCTTGGCCCTGCGGGAGCTGCACCTCTAGGTCCACCACCGCGTGGTCCTTGTGGGAGACCGCGAGCTCGATGTTGTCGTTGACCCCTTGATCGCCCACATGCTGTAGCAGCTCCTGCGGTACCGCGATGTAGTCGATGCGCTTGCCAACCTCTGCAGACCTGGCCCTCGACGGAGTCCACGTGGCGTAGACGTTGTTTCTGGACTGGGCCAGCGTGGAGGGCAGGCAGGAGTCGGTGCGCTTGACGTATTTGCGGAGGCAGGCCCCTGGGAGGTTCTCCTTCTGCGCGCCGTACTCTCCGATGCCGACCGTGGAGACCGACCCCCCCTGGGCATTGGCGTCGACCAGGGTGGAGAGCCACGGGCTGGGGTCGGGCCTCTTGTCGACGATCCTTTGGGTGTGCTCCCACCAGTCCCTGATCTCACCTGGGGGCCTGTGGCTGTGTGGGGCATGTCCTACAAGGATGTCGCAGTGGAGGAAGGGCGCCCTGATGCACGCCAGCATGCGGGTCGGCCCCTTGTGCACAATCGCCACGTGCTGCTCCTGCAGGGCGGGGCCGTCCTCGCCCAGCTGGCCCACTGTGTTGACCCACAGCGAGACCCCGAAGCGTCCTCCTTCTGCGGCAGCAGTGTGGAGCACCAGGTAGTGGCCCACTCTCACGACGGACTCGGCGGGGACCCTGGTCTCGAGCGTGCCGACCAGGTGGTAGCCCGCGTCCCCGAACTGCTGCGCAAGGGACTGCATCCTTCCTGGGATGAGGACACCTGTGAAAGCTTTCCCCTTGCTCACCCTGGACTTCCTGGGGTCGAGCGTCAGGACATTGGCTACAGCTAGCCGAAGCTTCCGTGGCTTGCTGGGTTGCCCCTCCCCCTCCTTTTGCTTCGGCCCTCCCCCAGCGGGCCATTCTCTCCCTGGGACAGGTGCTTCAGGAGGAAACTCTGGAGGCCTTGGGACGGGGGCTCGAGGACTGGGACGGGGCGGCCTGGGAGCGGATATTGAAGTCTCTCGGCCTGAGGGGCAACACTGAGCCACAGCCAGGGCGCCTGCGGCAGCACCTGCTCCATGCGCTCCCAAAGGTCGAAGTCGTTGGGCCACGCGATGAGGCCGCCCCTGGCCAGCGTGGCGACGGTGTCGGCGAGCTCGTTCCACGGGTCCGCCATGTGGCCGCTGACGTGCGACCAGAGGATGTCCTCCGCGCTGTGCCTCAGCACCTTGACGATGCTGTCCAGGAAGCTGGCGCACGGCGCGTAGTGCTCCAGCGCGGCTCCTCCCCTCCCGAGGTCGACCGCGTAGTTGTTGTCGGTGTAGAAGCTGATCACTGGCAGCTGCGCGTGCATGCCCGTCTCGTCCTCAGCCACCTTGAGATGCAAGAGCCAGAGGATCGCGGCAATCATCGCGCATATCTCTGCGGCACCTGACGGCTGGCTGAACTGGTCCCCTAGCGTCGGCATCGCATCCCCCATCGTGCCGATGAGCACGAACTCGTCGTCATGCGTGTAGCCCAGCACGACGAAGGCCCAGGCCAGGGGCCCAGGGCGATGACCATGCGCACTGCCGCCTGAGCCATCCGCGTAGATGAGTAGCGTCTCGAACAGGCTTGGATCAAAATCGCCCTGCAGACGCGAGCACTTGGAAAGTACTCCCTCGGTGGAGCTGTAAAGGTATTGTTCTCCGTGCTCGACGAATCCCTTGTCGATGGAGATCGGCCATGCTGCCCTCAGCACGGCCATGGCTGCTGCTGTGTCTGGTATCGGCGTAACCACACCACTCCCTGGCAGCGCCTCTGTAGGTGAAGACGTAGTGGCGGCGCTGTCTACCAGGCCACACACCCCTGTTGCTTCCATCGCCGCTGAAGACGGTAGCGGGGGCTGGCCCGGGTAAACTAGCCCAACGGCCGCCCGTTGGCATCCAGCCGCTGCCCCACTCTGACGTCCCTCATGGCGTTCTCGTCTGCGGCGGGTGGCGTCTGACACTGCTGCAGCTCCTGGAGTGGGGCTCGGGCGGACGCCACTTCAACCACGACTGGGTCGCCGTTCTCGTCCTTCATGACCTTGACTGCTCCCTCTGCGGTGTCCGTGGCTGCACCTCCAGACGACAGGGCCGGCCTCCTCTGGCCTGGCGGCGGCGGCTCCGCAAACGCCTTGGCCGGGGACTTGGCAGCCTTGCCTGCGCTCTTCTGGCTGGTTGGCAGCCTTCCTCCACTTGGAACGGGGATGTCCTCCGCTCCTGCCGCCTGTGGGGGTTGGCCTTGGAGGGGCTGCCCATTGAGCGCAGCAAGGATCTGCCCCAGCGTGTCCTGCATGGGCCCCATCTGTGTCTCCAGCTTCGCCACGCGGTTCTGATCCTGGGCCGTGCCTGTGTGTGACCAAGCTGGTCTCACTGGCATCTGCTGCTGCCCCGACGAGCCTCCTCCGTAGACATCGTCGTCCGCGTCCTCAATCTCCTCGTCGCTGTCGTCCGGCACCGCCGCCTCCCTGGCGAACTTGTGCGCGGCTGGCTCCGCAGCGGCGGAGGGTCCACCCTCTGGAGGGTAGGCGCGCCAGTGTTCGAGCTGCGCCATCTGCGCCATGAACTCCTGCGCGTGCTGGTACTCCTTCTGGGCCTTGGCCGTCTCCGCCTTGCACGCCTCTGCCGCCGGCTCCGCGGCGAACTGGGCGTCCTTGGCGGCCGTCAGCGCCTTCTTGGCCTTGTTGACGAACTGCTCCTGCTTCTCCATGCGCGTGGTCGGGTCCTTAGCTAGGATGACCTGGCAGTGGAGCGCGGCGTACTCGTTCTCCGCCTGCTTGAGGCGCTGCGGGGAGACCTGCTCGGGCGGCATGCTGCGGATCGCCCTCGCCGCCTCGGCCGCCGCCACCATCGCCTTGCGTAAGGACTCCCTGTGGCGCTTGAGTCCTGCTGCGATCGGCAGGGCGGTCAGCCAGCTGGGGTGATGCTGAGCCTGCTTCGGCAGCATGGGCAGGATGCCGATGTTGCCCGAGGCTGCTGGCACTCCTGCGCCCGCATCACCGTGGTCTCCTGCCGCAGCTCCTCTCCTTTGACCTCCTCTTCTGTCTGCTGAGGCTGAGCGCTTCCTCCAGGGGGGCTTGGCCTTGTCCTTCTGGCCTCCGCCTCCTCCTCCCTTGGGCGCTCCGCAGCCTCTGCACGTCGTTCTCGAAGCAAAATTGTCCTGGCTGCACTTCACGAATGAGCAGCGCCAGGTTGACGTATGGCCCGTCGATCGCGACGATGCACGATCCCCTGGCGCCATCCTGCTGCTGCTGTGGTGTCTGTCCAGGAGGCCGGCCGCCGCGCCTAGCCGCAGGAGCACGCGTGCGTCGGCACGCTCCTTGCGGCGGCGGCGGTGCCAGGCCGGATCCCGATCGGGGCCGCGCGGCGTGGCGGCGCCCGTGGTCGCGCGACCGCGGAGGTGTCGCAGGCCACTGTGGCCTGCACCCAAACACCTCGAGCAGGTCACGGCGACTGAGGGAGGAGGGAGGAGGGAGGAGGGAGGAGGGA